CATTTATATGTATCAGTGTCATTGTGATGGTGTGCGTTCTTTTCGCTCAAACACTATCATACTCACATCCTACAGACTTGTATTTAATAATAATGCAGGATATATAACGAATATACTACTATATAAATTCTACAGACCTTCAAAACTCGCATCTCAAACAAATACATAGTATGTTAGGTATGGATGGTGATATAATTCAACAGACCGACAAGGTCCCTTTTCTATTTGAAACTGAGTGCCCATTTTTTTTTGAAATTCAAATTGAAACGAAATATACAATTGTATGCAAAAATGTGTCTGTTTTAGACGCAACACAAATGTATGCAGTTAAGACATAAGCAGAAGAACTAGAGAGAGAGAGAATAGAAAGGAGCTAATGACAGAAGAGAAGTGACAATAACAGTGAGAAAACAATATTATTATTGATATTATAATACATCGTTTTAGTATCATGTATTGTTGTTTAGAAAGCGGTTTTCACTAATCTGAGCCATTTTCTTGAACATGACTCATTATAAAAAAAAGTTGTATCCTTGAGTATATGAGTGAATTGCAACGTTATTATACCTTTGCTTTTTTAGTGTATTTTCATTATAACTCTGACTGTTGTAAACCAAATTTCAAATTTTTTTATTTTATTTTACTCCTTTCACTTCGTCTTACTACCACAGAAAATTTCAGGTCAGTGACTGATTGCTTCCTTGAGCTAAACGTATCTTAAGACAAAAAAACACATTTTTTCAATTAGTTGGTCCAGGGAAAATAGAATTTTTGGGAAAGGAAAGGAAAGAAAGAAAAATGTAAATAAGCCATTTTGTAGAGCACGTGAGGAATTATCGAAGCATATATTTCATTTCTACATTTTCTCTCTTTTTCCTACTCATTTGTCTTCAAAACTATATTACAGTCATTTTCTTGATTTTTTGTAGAGTAACACAAACCGGTAAGTAGCGATCGGTGTACAATAAAAAAAAGACTCAGTCCATATCTAAAAAGAAAGACCTTGATTTTTGCTACAAAACGAACAAAAAAAATTGGTAACTTTTTCTTCTCGTTTTTGAGAAACAGGAAACTACTTTTTGAAAAATTCCGTTTACACTCATCGTGTAGAGTAACATTTTCAAACTTCTTTCGGTCATAACTCGACAAATACTAACGCGACTTCGCTGAAACTTTTTCTCAATGAATGATATTTGTTTTGGTATTACAGATAAAATTTTCAGCGTTATACGACCCCTCCTTCTAGCAAAACTTCACATGATACTAGAAAATGTAGAGTAACATTTTTTTAAGAAAAATGTAGAGTAACATTTTTTCGATATTTTTTCGAGCTTTGATCACTCAAATATACATTTATTATACACTGCTAGACTCGACTTGAAGTGGCGAGTAAAACTAGGCACATTAAAGTCCTTCCAAAAGTAGCTAAAAACCATAAGAAAAGTTCCAATGAAAAAAACTGTCTTTCTGCTCTGAAGTGATAAAAAAAAATTTCTTACTTAAATGCGTCTTGTTTAGAATTGAATGTCTTTCTAAAGTGCTACTAACTGTTATTATCTTCTGAATTATTATATAGGTGTACTTTTCGTGAAAGTGTGTTAATCGATATTAAACGAGAACAGAAGTAGAAAAAAATATTCATTGATTTTTCAACGTGTAAATGGGACTGGAATGCGAAGTAGAGAGCTTTAAATGATACTGGTGAATCCGATAGACAAAAAAATGAGTGATAAATACACTAAAATACGTTTTCACTTGTTTGTTTCGTCGAAAACCGTTTTTCATACGGTTTTGGTGGCGGAAATAGGGTTTCTAGAGATTCAAGTGGAGTTAAAATGGATCAAACATCACCTACCTAGATAGAGCTCGACGAGATCTATCGATCGGTATGTAATAAGTCTTCTTTGGGATAAATGCTAGTGACTTTCTCAAATAAATGCTTAGGGACGAAAATTCGAACTTCCTGCTTAAATATTTCGGTTGCCTTAGCTCGGGTAGTTGGGAAAATTTTACCAAATACTCAGTAAAGGATGGCGAACAAAATGCACTATCCAGATTTTCTATCAACTGACTTTTGTTTTTTTTTTATTAACGGTATAGTGAAGTTGCAATTGACTCATATATATCAAAGAGAAGTGACTCATGTCAGTATTAATAGTATATAGGCGACAAATGTCTTGTATTAACCCGAGTCCATTGTCAAATGTTTTTTCAAATTTACTTTCAGATTCATTTACGTACAAGAATACAGTACCAGTTCGACAGTTATTATGAGGTTGCCTAACAATGATTCGACTGTACTGGATCGAATCAAGGATGTTGGATCCTAAGATCTTTTCATTTCGTGCTTGAAAAATAAGATAAGAATATTATCGAATTCGATTGAATTCGAAAGGAATCATAATTGATATTATTATGAAAAATTTTAAAAAAAGAACGATAGTAGATTTCAACGACAAATCCAAAATGGTGTACCTATGTTGAATAGAAAATGTTTTCATGTTCTTGTCATAATCGAATGTGTCGTGCATGATGTTACATTCTGCCACGCATACGACACATTTTCGTGTTGTGTGTATTGTGCGGTGTTTGAATTCTGTTAGTACCGAATATCAAATTGTATACTTTTCAATTTTGTCTCGATTTCTATTAACTGATGAAAATGTGACGTTTTTGGCTATATTCAGAAGATCAGCACACTGATTCTAGATGTCTAGAAATGCTTTCTGAAGAATCAAGTTGTCTAATCAATTGCAGAATCTTTACTCGTTTTCTATTAATGTTCTCTTGCTTGATAATCGGCATTTGAAATCATCCTCGTGTCGTATTTTCTGTAAGAATTCGGCTCGTGTACTATTCAGTTCATCTGATTGTAGAATGATTTAGTGTTACATAAATACTTCATAATGTTGATGGCAAAGTAAGCCTAGCCGAAAATAGATTAGAACTTATAATTTTTACATTATGAATATCTTTGCCTAAAATGCTAATCTCATTTACATTGCATTTGTTTAGACCCTGACACTCTGTGCAAACTACAATTATAAATAACCTTTTTCTAAATAATATATTAGACATGTTTCATAGTTTAGACCTAAGTTGTTTAATCATCTTTCTTCTCACTAATCTATTTACTGGAGTACTTACAGATGTTTACTATGGTATCCACGATCTATGCAAATTTTCATAAAATTTTTCAACAAATTTCTAGGGATAAAATAAAGAACACATAAGTCCTTTTAGCTACCAATATTAGTGAGCATACCCCATTGCATATTTCTATTTTCTTTTTTAATAGTAATTTTTTCTTCCTATCATTACACAGTAAAACCTCTCTATATGAACATCTTCTTATACTGTGCGGTACAGAGTATGCTCGAACGAATTTTGCAGGAAATGAGCTTCTATATTATGAGAAATTCCTTATTCTGAACAGTGAGCGGTTATTTCCAGCTCCATGAGTAACAACAATCTTTATAATTTGAGCAACACACGATCTATCACTCACATGCAGAATGAGAGAAAAAAAGCTTGTTATTGCAGCCTCTTTGGGGCTGAAACGTCGAACTCACATATCTTGTTTAGTTTCATTATGGTAATGACAGAATATACAATGTTTAAATTTCCTAAAAGACTATAGTTCTTTTCTAATGATAATCGATCTTCAGCAAATGCTGTTTTTTTTTATTTCTATACTTCGAACAGAAAGTTTTTCTTTTTTTGGTGAAGCTGCTATGATCTGTAATGCAGAGGGAGGGTGGGAGAATCGCTAAACCTCAAGCTTAAAACTTACACTCACTATTTTCTTCGAAAACATACGTGAGTTCCACAAAATTATATTATGTATATTATTACATTATGATAAACAATCAAACAACATTTGTAAGATGAAAATGGATTAACTATGTGTGGTAAAACATTTCTTCATTTTTTGTTAACAACTAATGACATCAAATCATATCAACATATATTGATTTATCTTCGGCTAGGAAAAAATTGAATTAATAATTTATTGAAAAGAAGAAAAAGATTACCTAAGGCAATTGAAAAATGATTGCAAGTGAATATTTATCATTGTAAAAGAAATTAAAAACTTCCCAACAATACAAGCACCTTCGTAAACTGAACACTTTTGATCAGTATCGACGGTGCTCACATTAGAGGAGTTTTACTATAGATGCAAAGAGTATGCATGTTTGTCTCATGCTAGTAACTACTGCATTGACAGACTGTCAAAGGTAAACCATACTAATTGCTTCAATCAAAGGTTTTTAAACGTGCCATTTATAATTTACTAAATTTAAAATGAAAATTTTTATAAGAAAGAAAATTATTAAGAATATAACACTATTGACATAAAAAGTATATTCTATCGGCCGCCTTTTTTATTATATTAGTATAATAATAAGGACTGACTAAAAACGTAAGGAGATCCTTAAATAAATTATAAAAGAAATTGTTACAATTATTATAACTCTTTTTCTAATGACGAAGACATTCTGTGACATTTCTTCTATCCTTTATAGAAATTGTTCATTTAATTACATAGTTGTAAAGACTCTTGTTTTGTTTTTCAAAGATAAACAAAAATGGTATGGTAGTTGAAATTGTCAGAAATATTTTGTAATTAAAATTTTTTTTTTTTACAATTCATAAAATCTAATTCTGTTTTTGGGTACCATGACTCATATATTCATTAATTCATTATTTAACTACTCAACTAAAAAAAAACACAATTTTAATCTTAGTCTACTAGTTAACTTGCTAATCAAAAGAATATTATTGAATAAAAAAAGACCTAAATAAAATAAGAATGAAACAAACAAATGTACCCTTTTTAGTAGTCACTAATGAATTAGTTAATTATTTCGAACATAAATTCTTTTATTTTTTTTCTAGAAATGATGTTCACACGTCTTCCTGTACGCGTAACTATTATATTCATGGTATGTGTTTCTATTCTTATGATTATTATTTTTTCGCGAAATTTTACTAATCATATGTTGCGTATTGAAATTAGCCAATTCTATTTTTCATTATGTCGATATTCGTCCACAATCACTGATAATCGTATAGTTTTTGATAATACATCACATTTTATTCATCACTATCCTGAATTTATCTGTCCACAAAATTTTCGAAATTTGGCTGATTGGGTTTATAGTTGGCCTAAAAATACATTCAATGAACATATTGAAAGTAACGCTAATGATAGTTATGTGATTGCACCTAATCTTCCACATGGTAGTATAATCTATATTCAACCCAACGGTATTTCCACCTTTTTTCAGAGAATTTATCCGTATTTACAGAATAAATTTGTATTGATTACCGGTCAAAGTGATTATTCAGTACCAGGTCAAAATCTTTATTATCTTGAAAGATTCGATTCAAAAATTATTCACTGGTTCGGTCAAAATGGAGATATCCATTCATGGAGAAGTGAACGTTTTACTCATATACCTATTGGTAAGAATACAATATAGAATTTATTTTATTATGTATGTTTTTTCAAAAAGAAAAGCTAAATATTTTCCTAGAAACACAGAATGAATGAATTTTGTTTCCTTTTTGTTTTTTTTTACTAAACTTATCAAAACTTAAACTGTTTCATATTTTACTCTTTTGCCGTATGCGACGATTAACGGCTTTTATCAAATAAAGCTATTAGAATTTGTACTTTAGTAATTATTAGATATAGTGATCATCAGATCCCTTAGATATGAAATAGTTCTGAATTTTAGAAATAAAATAAGTATCTATTTGATGATCTTTTATTACTTATGCCTTTGACATGTAGTTTTACGAAAATAGTACTGTAATAAGAATGATAATTAATTAACATTCTCTTTACAAATATATGAAAAGCTATAATTAACATATTCGTTTTCTGAAAGTTTCTTTGTGTCTATTGAATCTGTTCTACAGGTATCAATTGTTTTGAAATGGCAGAAAGTATTCGAGGTATTCATCAACAATATCGTAATTATACTCTTCCATCAGTATTCAATAAAAGTATGGATGAACCACTTTATTATGTACAACCATTCGATATTACACAAAGTGTATTGAATAGTCATAATCAATCGGATAAATTACTTCTTCTCAATTTTCATCCTGATACAGATCCAGATGGCTTACGTCGAAAATTATGGAAAAATATTTGTGGAAATAAAAATAAATATTCATTTGCTACGTGTTTTGATAAGTCTTCAGGGGTAGATCGTTCAATTTTACAAACTATTTATAAAAGAAATCGTCAGTATCCATTATGGTTATCACCTCGTGGTAATGGAATTGATTGTCATCGAACATGGGAAGCTCTCTATCTTGATGCTATTCCAATTGTTTGGCATTCAACAATTGATTCCTTATATACAGATTTACCTGTTATAATTATTCATGATTGGAATGAAATTAATGAACAATTTCTTCGAAATAAATTATATGAAATAGCTTTAAAAAAACTTCAACAACCACCTGTATATCATTATGAAAAATTAAGACATGCTTTTTGGCGTGATATGATCTTAAAAAAATCGAGACATTCTTCTACAAATACTCATATACACAAAAATCGATGTTGGCAAGCTAAAACTATTCAATAGTATTAAATAGAATTAATTTGTAATAAATATTAGGAAAAAAACATGAATATAAATTTTATAAAAAGACAAAGACTTAAAAATTCATTTTGAATAGAGTCTAATTAACACTAATCGGATAAAAGAATCCTTTCATCATTAAATTGTTTCAGCATTAAGGACGATAAAAATAGAGTTTGTCTAAATCAACGACAACTTTCAAATATAAGCAACAAGTCAAACATGTAACGTCAGATTAAAATATTTTGTTGACGCAGGAAAAATAATAAATTACATCGGTGATTTCATAGAAAAACTTATATATATAGAGGGCATACACTTTGTCTGGAGTCGGCGAATCGCAATTTATTTTACTTTTCTCGGAAATGCGACGTATGGTGAGATTTTTTTTGACTATTTATTTGAGAATGAGACAAACAGTGTTTTTTATTTTTTTTTTATTCGTTCTTTCTTACGAACTACTAAGCACGAGACTCGTTTACTTTTATTGAAGACATTACTTTTTTTTTCCTGCATCTATTTGCTTTATACCACCTTGCTGTATGTCGTGTCACTATAAAAAGTACATTTTAACTCGAGAATAAAACGGCATTACACATGACGCATTATAACGATATCTTCGAAAAATCAAGTATTTCTCAAACAATTACGAGACGAAACGCATTTATCAATAAATATATAAGTATAAATGAAAATAATTTAGAATTTATTTATTTTTCCCTAATATTATTTAAGGGAGTACACATGAGTGTAGATGTAGGGTGTGGGTTAAGGTATGATGAGAGAGAAGAACCGTTGATGCTGACACCTACACTTTCAAATTCCTTTTATAGTTAAATATTCACTCTGAAGTCTATTCTATTCGAATTAGTAAATTAATTATTCAAAAAAGAGAAAAATTAATATAATTGAAAATTTGTTTATGCCTTTCAATTTAGTTCAATAAATAGTATGATAAATAAGAAAATTATTTCTGTATGATTAACCTTTTTGCTAGTGAATTATATTGCATATGATAAATAACAAATGATACAGAAATTTTTATATTATATAAAATTTTTCTTCCTATATATATATTACTTCACATTTGACACCAATATAAGATATCATTTGCATTGATGTTATCAATGGTGAAAAAAGTATCATATGACGTTCGATGTTTGGAATATTTATATTGAATAACTATACCATGAACAAAAATCAAACGAATTTTCTCAATATATTTCTATGTATGTAATACGATTATTGTAATGTAAAAATTTTTCCATTATAATTGATTATAATTGTGAGTCATTTTCCAGATGGCAAGCTTCAGAATATTTTACCGTAAAAAAGCCTATATTTTCGTATGTAATGTTACTACAAAGGAAATTTTAAAATTATTTATTAAATAATAATATCTATTTTCTATATAAGAAGAAAACAGGATGTATTCTCTACACGAGCATGATAAGTAGTTCAGGTACGATATTATCATATTTTTCGCTAATTATAATTAGAGATGTAGAAGACTTTGTTTTTCAGATGTCGTCCTTTAGAACACAGATTTATCTAATCAAAATCGAAACCAAAGCCAAATAATATTATTTTTGAATGAACTTTTTTTCATTTATAATTTTAATTAGAATTTACAGGAGTCATTCCTTGAGGGAAGTCTATTAGTTAATAAGTATCTGAAAACTTTCCTAGACATTATTCAGAACTATTAGGTATCCATGAGACAGTTTCGATTGTCTTATTGTCAGACTTAAAAGTCAAGCCAAAAACGCTGATCCTATTCATATTTCTTGACTAGTTCCAAACTCAACTTACTTTTATATACATACAATTTTTTTCAAGTGATTCTAAAAACTTGCTTCATTACCTTCTACAGGAGAAAAAAACGAAATTCTTATTAACAACATGTACTAATAGTGTATTTCCTCTCTGAAAACTTCGATTCATTTAAGATTCTTGTGGTTCATTTTCGTTAAATGTCAATACAAATAATGGAAGACAATCATATAAACAATGATAATCGATTTAACAACTATATGAACTTAGAGACAATTTTCACACACACAAATTTCATATTATTACTTTGAGATCAAGTATCACAAGCATAACAATCATTTCCATTAGCGCGACAACGGTTTCTACCAACACAATCACAACAACAAATACATCAAAATTTCTTTTAACCATCATTACGTCCATATTGATGTCAATGTTGACGTAAATTACTTTGCTACGCCTTTAACTATAAAGCTTATCATTGTACGCTCTGAAACATGTTCTATGATACTTCCTGAGATTATTCTAGTCAATAAAAATGGTCAACCTGTAGTACCAAAACATATTTTACTAGAACAGATTAATGATGAACTATCACAACTATTTTCCATCGTTTAAAACTGATACAATCTTCTATGTATCAGCTTCTGATCTATCGGAAGTCAACAGAAACTTATTCAAATTACAAATCAATTATAATCGAAAATCGAGTAACATAAAACAAATTAATCATATTATATATTATTGTTATTATAAAATAATTTTCTCGAACAGTTATTATTCCAAATTTAATGAACAATACATTTAGTATTATGATGTTTTATAAGAAAAAAAAATTAAATAAATATCTTTTAAAAGAAAACAACTAGTCGCTAGCCGAGATATAATCCTTTTTCAGTTGAATGAATATCTTGCCTTTCTAAACTATTTAAAATTTTTCTACCACACTGCACTTCTTTTTAGATATATATATATATACATTTATATATTTTGATTTTTCTTTCTTTCCTTTATTATGAGCGCAAGTATTGCAAAAAGAAAGCGTGGAACAGCATCGCGTGAGTATTAATGAATTTCAAATTTATTACTTCAAATATTATTTTTTAGAAGTACCAATATCAACACAACAATCGGTAAGTTAGTTTCGTCTTCACTTTATTTTTTGTTTTAGAATTTACAAAAAAATATCTAAAATAAATTTAGAATGCACTTTATAGTCTTCTTGATTGTTATGAATTTTTGGCATCAAATGAATATTCTGAAAAAACAATTGGTATACAAGCATTTGTAACACGAAAATCAGTATGTGATATAAATTTTTCTGATATCATTGATGATAGTGAAAAACGTAATCGACAAGGGTAAAATAAAATAAAAATAAATTTAGTAAAAGACTATATTTTCTTTTCTTTAAATTAAAGTCAAACTACTAATTTTGTTGGTCTATTAGAAGATAAACGGAGTAATTTACCGTTAATTGATGCATCTGTTGAAAAATGTTTAATGCTTAATCGATTAATATCTTATATTAAAGAGGTAGAGAAATTATTCAAATGTATTTTTTTTTGTAAGAAATTTTAAAATTTTTAATTTAAAGAATGAAGCACGTTTTACATCAATTATATCCGACATAAGACTTGAAATGCAATTTAAAATGGCAGATAATCAAAATGCTCCAACTTCTTATGTATACGTATTTTTATTGATTGATGTCATCTATCTTTATATATTTAGGATTTTCGGAAACGTGAACGAGAATTTAATGATCGAAAATATGCTCAAGAAGTACGACGTCTTTTTTATCATAGTCATGATGAAGTTAAACAACCTCAAAATTTGGTTTATTTACAAAATAGGCATGTTTTATTCGATTTTAGATTTATCCAAAAACAAAATATTTATGTTAGAGTTTATTTCATTACTCAATTAGTTTTCATCTAGATTTTATATTTTGAAAATTTAAAGCAAAGATAAGCTAAAGTGCACTTTAAATAATGAGAAATGTGCAATTTTTTTTTTTCATTTAGATGATGAAATAATTGAGCTTTCAAGAAAATTTCATAATCTAAATATAGTTAACCATGCATTCTCACGGCATTACTTTTGAGTTTATTGATGTTGGTTAACATTGGATAACAAATTTTTTTTTTCATAACATTAACTGCTCTTCGAATTAAAAACATCAGTAAATGTCGAAAGAAATTTTCTCTTGTAGTTTTTTATGTGTTTATTGATTGTAAACCAGCGAAACAGTGATGATAAAATTTGATCATTCATGCAAGAAGAAAAGCATACATCCATTGATAAAAACCTATATTTCAAGAATATTCTAGACAAAGATATGCTAAGTATAGAACAAGAGATTTAATTCGATCTATTTTATGAAATGATAATTGATGTTTTTTTTCCAAATATGATTGACAAAAACAGATTGATTATCATGAATGAAATTCCGTTTTTCTTTTTTGTTTTTGTTCTTCAGAACCACTGAACAATTAACATATATAGTTAATCAAATGTCTCGTGATCCAAAATCTCGTCAAAGCTATATTAATGAATTACAAACAATATTCCAAACGTAATAATAATATCTTTGATAAATAAAAACGAAAAAAAGAAAAAAACTGATATTGATTTTCATAATCTAGTTCATTTTTGATTGTGGCTCAACCTCATTCTGGTGTAAATCCGGTGACAATATATGAACGAAAAGGTCCTGGTGAATATACTGCGAAAATTTCCGTCACTATCATTTCATTACTACATGATTTTATGCAAACACATCCAAATTTAATAGAACTTTTTGATATTGGTATTTGAATTTAAGAAATAAAAAATTCTTTACATATAATTATCTTATATATTTATATATTTAGAACCAAGTTTATCTCCTTCATCACCTTATTATAAACTTGAAGAACCTCGTTCACTTTCTTGGAAAATATGTCATTTACAAACAGCTCCAGGTGGTAAAACACGAACATTTCTTTATGCTGAATTATCGGCTATTACTATTGAACAATCATCAAAAACTGATACACGTGTTCGATTTGCTCAATTATTACATTCATTTAAATTTGCAATTAAACTTCAAGTAAATTAACATACATGAAATGATGAAAACAGTTTCAAAATAATACTTATATATATATATATGATTTATTATAGCTTAATTTAGCTGATACTAAAGCGTCACCGATGTATCATGTTCTTTTGGAGTCATTACAGTTTAGTATTGGAGCTCATAATAATCAAATTCCACAATTATTAACACGTGTTATACTTGATGATATTCAAAAATTTTCAAAAGTATTTAAACAAAAAAAAAAAGCATAAAAAAGTTCAATGATAGTTATATTTGAATGTTTAGATTCGACCAGCTGATACTAGAACTGTTCTAAATTATATACAACGTTATTTTATTCATCGAACAGGTGTTAGACCTAATGAATGTGTTAATATTTATCTTGAACAAGAATTAGTTAAAGCATCAAGTAATTTTAAAACTTTTTCAAAATATTTTCATAAATCAAGACTAATATTTTTAGATCAAAGAAGTAATTCTCAATTGATAGAAGATATTTATTGGGTATGTAATTCTTTTATTAATATATAATTGAAATTTAATCAAAATTAAACATCGAAAATAGTACAGTTATTATGATTTTTATCTTTAGGATTTTCTTGTCAATTTTGTACATCAAGTAGAATTTATGGCTAAACATCCCATTCTAGCTATGTTTCATGCCGATGGGTAAATTTCATTTGTAAACATAAAATCATTTGAATTTATTATCTTTCATATTATATAGTCTTTTCCTTGGCATATGTAGCAGTGAACGAGCAGCTGAAGCTATTGTTCAATCATCTATATCTGGTTCACCAATAATTGCACTTCGGTTTAATTCGATTCGAGTTGATTATTCTAATGTGTCAACATCAACAACAGGTATCAGACCAGTCAAACTTCCTGCATGTGCTATTCGTGTTGATATTTATCATGGTTTGTTCTTTATAATTTAATTCATACTTATAATACTTTAATGTTTTAGATCGTACAAAAAAATTACAAAATCGTACATTTGATTCTGGCACACTTATTGTTGATATTAGCAAATTTGTATCATCAGCTCATACCGAAAATGCTAATCGTATACATATTTTATCGAATTTTGATGATAGAACAAATGATAAAATCTATTTATCATTTAGTGAATTTTCAAAATATTATCGTTAGTTAAATAAAACTTAAGAAATATTAATTAATATATATATATATATATTTTTTTGAATATGATATTAGATGCACGATTACAAGAAATATTGAAAAATGATGAAAAATATAAACCAGTTACAGATCTTATCGATAAGTAAATTAAATTCATTAATATAACAATAATTTTCTTTATTTGAAATTAGTGCTAATGATGGAAATACTGATGAAGATGGTCTTGATAGTTTTAGTCCAGGTTCTACTGATTTTTTTCCATTCAGTCCAAGTATATTGTTAAATATAAATCTTTTAATATACAATTATTTTTTCTCTCTTCAGATTCATTAGCATCATTACTTCCAATACCATCAAATGCATTCGATAATGAACAGGTAGAAAATATTAATTACTCTATTTTAAAATATTAATAATCACTTTTCTTTAGACTTCTGATGAAATGAGTGTTCATGATTATACATCTATAGCGTATGACAGTTCGACTAATAGTGTTGCATCACCACAGAATATTTTATCTCCATCCGATCGAACACAACAGCAACCACAACAAACTGCATATGTAAATAATCACGAAGCCATATTAAAATATATTCTTTCTCAACCAAATGTTGCTGAAGAAGTCATGCGTCGATATAGTATTTACAATGCAGCATCACCAGTCGGACCATCACAACAAACTCTACAACAGCCACAAGTACAATATCAACCGCCAAGTCCAATAATTGTTTCGCAACAACGAACATCTCCACAAGTATCATTTCAACAATCGCCACAACAGCCATTATATCATCAACAACAATCACCTCAAGTTTATCATCAACAGCAACCATCACAGATTTATCATCAACAGCAACCATCACAGATTTATCAAAAACAAGAACCACGGATGCCATTTCAACAGACAATAATACAACAGCATCCGCAAGCACATTATCAAAGTCTTCAACGACAAGCATCACCTTCAGTAATTCATTATCTACCTATCAATACAAATTCACCACCATCACCATTAACACAACCAATGCAACAATTACAGTTTCCAACAACAAATAGTGCTGATCATGTGCAACAAGTCGTTTTGAATCAAATTCGTGATTGGAATTTATCAAATGGAAACTTAAATCAACCAACTACAACTTCTATTCAACAACAAATACCATCAAATGATGTAGACAATTAATATTCTTTATGGGTTCAGAAATCAGACGAAAGAAAAATATTAATCTTTTAGCAATACCCTGAGACAGTTATTTGTAGCTACTATTCATGACAAATCATTGTATTTTATCCGAATAGGAGGCATAATACATCCGAGAAAGAGATGATCGTTTCTTAATTTATCTGATAATAATATTTACTTCATATTAAAAATAGAAAATGAATCTTATACTGTTTTTCAAACTTTAACTTGAAAAACAAGATAAAATTTTAAAAAAATAGTTAATATATTTAAACTATGGGTGTAGATGACACCAAGAATTCCTAGACAGATTAATTTCGATTAGGACTACACATATATTCCTAATATGTATCATTTTGACAAGAGTTTACTAGTAAATACCGTACACATAACTTCTATTTACCAGATACGTTATTGTTGTTAGTTACAGGAAAACTTACTTGATAAATCGAAAATTACAATAGTTCTAATTTTTGTTTGTACCTGCAAGGATTGACAAGCAAAAGAAACGGTTCTCTACTTTGTCAATCCTATATCTACTATAGAAACAGTTCGTTAAAAGCAAATGATAGTTTAATCAATTTTGAGAATGATTGATTCGATCATTCATAGATTGTCTATTGAATTTTAACATATAGAAGTCTTCTAAATAGAACGGTCTAGAATACGACTTATTGATATCTATATTTATCATTTATCAAATTTCTTCATTAATAATTTAGGCATCAACGTTATCCTTCGATCAACATATTCAACAATTAATCGACGAATTAACAAGTAATAAATCAATTGTAACCAATAAATAATTTAATCAAGCATTCTAAAATATATTAAATAACATATTAGTTACAACATTCATTTTGACATTAAAACACACAATTTATCCCCTTTTTTTTCATTTCTCGTTGTACAATAAAAGTAAACACAAAGAAAATGAAAATATGGCACATATATAGACAGATTGATTCGTTTTTTATCTGATGTTTGTAAAACAACAGATTTTCCATTGATTTTTCAACATATTGGCCATTCTTGCATACGCTCATCACAATTTTGGCATACATAATGATCACATACGACAACTATTCTTTTTAATCGATCCATACATAATTTTTACATAAATGTAAACTCGTCCACTATCTCCAACATCTTGTAATTGTTTTAATTGTGATAATGTATGATGTCTTAAAGCTTCATGAAGACATGTATCACCATCTTTATCAGCTAAATTAACATTTGCATTTTTACTACATAATAACTATTTACAAACAAAAATATTATATATATTTATTTCAAATGAAATATTTTTCAACAAATTCTTCTTACATTTACAATTTGTAAATGTTGTCGACCAACAGCTAAATGAAGAGCAGTTTGTAAACTAATATTTTGTGCATTAATTGATGCATTTCCTTTAGTTAAAAGTAATTCAGCAACTAAACAATGATCATTAAGTGCTGATAAATGTAAAGCTGTAAATCCATCATCTTTTTTCTCATCAACAAGCCATTGACGATTTTGAATTTTAGAAAGAATAAGTTCAATAGCACTGAAAAATAAAACCAATCGAATATTTTATTATTTATTTCTATTTGCATATATATATATCTATTCATATACATTTATTCATTCATATAGCTACAGTTTTGTTTTGTTTTCTTTCTATACATTGTTTGCACTAAGAAATATAACCGTAAGAAAAGATAAAAACAACATTTTGCCAAAGAGAAAACAAGTCATTTATTCGACAGAAAGTGACATGACTTAGTTGAAGCACATCTTCTTTCATAGTATTTAAAGATTTAAAAAAAAACCATTCTACATTGTCAGTTACCTTATATAATGTTGAATGAAAAAATATTTTATTATTAGTCAGTAAAAAATAGGAAAATATATTTGAAATGACCAAGACGTGATTATAAAAATTACTGACATAGTTTGTATGCAAACATGTGAATAAACAGAACTGACAATGTCGACATTAAAAAATGATGAGATTCATTTTGTTATATCTCAACACGATGAGCTAGAAACAAAGGAACAAAATGCAACATAGAATTTTTTTTCTTCTTCCTCAAGCATATACTCGTTCAATCAACAAAAAACGGAAAAGACAAAAGAAAAAAGGATTATTGTGGATCTATGTGCATGCAATCACTTGCACTCTACACATCACTGTATGTTTGAAAATGAAAATGTAGAAGTAGATCATCTTTTTCCTTTTCTGTTCGATTATATTCATTGAACTTTTATCTCCTATTTCAGAAAACCACCATAGACTAGTCAATATGGTTTATTTATCAATGAAAATGTTATTAAGTATGAATTAGTAGCTCGTTATATATATATATACGTATGAAAGGTCGAATGCTGCCAATATTAATGAGGTACGACGATTAGCTTGCACGATATTAACCAGTTGGCAGAATGTTAGATAAAAAGAAAAATGAAGAGATGAATGATCTGATTGTTGTCTTTCGCCAAGGAGATTCTTTTTCCCATATCGGCTACGCTAGCAACGGCATCATTTATGTATATTGTAAAATGAACAATAATGTTATTCTAGATAAGTCTATGCTCGTTTTGGAAACGATATTCATGCATGCATGCTTCTATTGCTGTTCAATTATCATTGTTTACTCATCATTCTCTCTTTTCTCGCTCGCTTGCTAAAATATGTTCTTTTCGTCTGTATCAAGGTTCAAGAGAGTTTCTAGCGATGCGATGGGCTGAAACTTCGATAGAAAATGCTTTCGTTTAACTCTATGCTAGATAAAGAACCGCTGTTGTTAAAAGCATCTACATTGTTAAAGATTTCGTATGACAGCAAGTATCTTCAAATGTACTTTTACCAGAAATAGAGTTACAATTGCTAAAAATCTTTATCTTTCAAAATATTCCCACCAGTCAGTAAAAATACTACACAAAGTGTTAAAAGTTTCACTGCAAGTTTGTCAATTTTGGGAGGAGAAAATCTCCGTCATCATCTTCCTAATCGGAAGTCCTAGTCCTTATCGATCACAGAAGAGAGAAGAAGGCGTTATTTAATTGCTTTTGTCATTTTTTTCTCTCTCAGCCAGAAATAGTTCCTGCTGCTCTGTATATGTATATATCAATCAGAAGAAGTGCGAACGTTTGTGTGCCATTTTTTGCTTCTTGTAGTATTGGCCAAATTTGGCACCGACATTACTATTATTCTGATTCTTCTATTCGCTACTACATATGTCTACGTACAAGAATAGACTGTGCATATATGTATAATACACGCACAAAAAAGAATCATCAGTGGCATACATATATATATATATATGCAAGAGCAATGGATGATTCTATACACAGAATCGTTTATATTTATCCTGCTTATTCTCGTTTATTAGAGTAGTACACATTCTACTACATGTTCAAATATGGTTTATCAATATGTAAGTAATAATAAAGAAAGTTTCCAATTCGTACTTCTAAGACAGACCATATCGAAAATGTATCTTATGGAATGTAATAGAAGTATGCAGGGGGCTTTCTATATCGTCATCGAAAAAGTACCATAACACAAAATGAATTAACCTATTCTTTATTATTTCTTATATCAAAAGAAGTGAACAAAAATCGAAACCGATCATAATGAAGAAAAACAAAACATATGGAAATACAATCAGTTTCTTTTATAGTATTTCAATCGGTCAATCAACATGTTTATGTGAATTAGAATAGAAAAGAAAAAAAAAGAAGACTGTTGTCCAGATGTGTGATATCTGTTCTCCTGCTGATTGACCGCTTATTCATTTAACAATGAGAAATGGAAAAACAAGAAAAGAAAAGAAAAGAAAAGAACAAAGATAAGATCTAATGACTTACGATGAATTGCCACGTAAAGCAGCATGATGAATTGAATTGAAACCATTGTTATTACATGTAGCTACATCAGCATTGTATTCAAGTAAAATAATAATTAAATCATCACGTCTTTTTGATATAGCATCATGTAATGGTGTATCACCATCTGAATCTTGTATTCCAGGATGAGCACCATTTGATAAAAGAGTTTTACATACATCAAAATGGCCTTTACAAACATCTATAAAAAGTATATAGAAGAATATGATTTATGATAGAATTTTCATGTGCTACTCATCATTTTATGAATATATATTAATTTAGATAGAGAGGAAATGCTTGACTTGCTCTTTTTTTGTTTTTTAATCATACTCATATTAAATAAACAACTATGTACTTGACTAATCATTGATTTTATTTGTTTCTTGACACATACATCATTGTTTTAGAAGATATCAAGGTCACAAAAGATTAAGATTTATATAATATTTCTTTTTTTTTATATTTATAACTTTTGGAGAAGTTGTTTTTTTTTTTAACTAAATTGGAAAAAATATATTTACCAATATGTAATGCTGTTTGTCGTCGTTTATTTCTAGCATTTAGATCAGCACCTGATCTTGCAAGTAACTCTAATACTTCAGCTTCATCACCAAATGCAGCATGATGTACAGCTCGATCACCATCTTTATCCTAGATAAGATATATGAAAAATAAGAATGGTTTTTGTTATGTTCGAAAAACATAGTTTTACTTCAATTTCTAAATTAACATGATGTTGAATAAGTAAGCGAATAATATCTAAATGTCCATTTTGAGCTGCTGCTTGTAATGGTGTATGTCCAGCAAAAATGCCATTTACCTAATTATAATAAATATATAAGAATGTAAGAAATATTCTTTTATTTTGAAAATGATTACATCAACATTAGTTCGTTTTATTAATTATTCTACCTAAGTGCTTGCCGAAAACCGCAGCGGAACCGCCGTGAGTCATAACATACCAAATACAACCGGAAAGTCATTTATTTTTTTCTACTTCACTTCATTACTCCGTTACAACATCACACCCACACTCAACAGAACAACGAAGTAAAGAAGTGACGGAGTAATGCAGTAACGTAGGAGATATAGTAATATGAGCGATGCTCTTGAAATATTTATGAGATAAACCTGAGCTGTTGCATCGCGAGTTGTGGCAACCTGTGCTTCTACTCTTCTTGTATCATCGAAAATTGATGAAATAAGAAGAACGATAATAGAAAAATAATTTTATATATATTCCACCATTGGTTGATGCTTTAAGAAGTTTCTCATGAAAACCACCGATAATTTCGAAATACATGTGTTTAGAAAGAAGAGCCATCATTGCGCACATCTTACCACTGCATTCTTGTTTGACAAAACACAATAGCTTAACTTAGATTTTTATATCCTTGGAATACTTTTCTAAACGTGTTACAATAGATTCTTTCTTTTTTAAATATTATTTCAACGTTTAACTGATAACTGTTCAATATCTGTTTCCGTCTTCTGTTGTAAATATTTAATTAGATTAATATAAAATTTGTTTGCTGATGATATCTAACAAGATATACTCTTGTTAACCATAATGGAGTTGTTGCTGAAAATACAATCGTTTGAAGTTTTTCTTTGTGTCGTCAAATAGTTTTCACGATAAAATGTATATGTACATTATCCTAGAAGAAATAAATTCAATAAAGAGATAAACAAAACATATTTTACCTGAAAACCTACATCAAGCATTCTATTAATTTCAGGTAAAACAGTAATTTGACTTTGATGAGAGTAATCATTATTTTTTTGAATTTAAGAAACTTTTAATACTTCTGTGCATAGTAAAAAAAAATATCTGAACCTGGTTTTAATGATAATTCTGGTCGAGAATATTCTTTTCTATCATAAATTATTCATATTATAAGAAAATGAGATGTTATTGATAGAAAGTCAGTTTTCATTTGTTTTCCAAGTTCTCATGTTGATTCTGAAACTAAGCAAGAAGTATAATGATTTCATACATTCGATATTTGTTTTTGAAGGTATACAACTATTAGAAGGAGAAATGCTAACATGTTTTTCTTTTCTAGTCTCTTTAACATTAAACAAATATAAAAAGATTTTTATGAAAAGTTAAAGGTTTTATTAAAAAACTGTAGCTGAATTAGTAAGTTAATTTAATAAAACATTGTAATTATTTTTTTTTTGTATGTTTATTAACACTAAAATGTTAAAATAAACAAAATGCTTATTTATTTTATTTAAAATAATCAGAAAATAAATAAAATACATTGGATAATCGAAGAAAATGGTAACATTGTTATATTGATAACGTTTATTCTACTCTGAATCAAAGATTTTTCTATCCTTCATAACATCTCGAATATGACTAGATTGAGAACAACGAGAAATGAATTGAACAGCATAAGTGAATATTTGAGAGTATTAAAAGATCTCATCATCATCATCATCTCAACACCAATAACAATAATGAAAACAAATCAATATATTAGTTGAAATTTCACTAACCGAACATTGATCATCTGGACGCAAAATGGAGGATCGTTCCATTCTTCTTATGTATATTTAATATACATATTTATTATCTATGACTACGTGGATTGAACTGTCAGTATTTTGTTTTTATATTGAACAATATACATATCATCAAATAAATTATATTCCTTCCATAAAGATATTCAGTGGCTGTTACTGCTTATGACGATATGTATTAATAATCACATCATAAGATAAGCATTATGACTATCAAAGTTGTTGTTTTTTCATAATTATATTTTGGTTTTTATAGAAGGAAAGTGAACAGATAATAAGAAAAAAAGAATAATGGAGAGGAGCTACTTTTAGGAATAGATGACATTCATTAGTCATTATTTTGACTGTCAAATGGTTTATTTGTGAATTGAGAATGAGGTTTATTTATTGTATCATGAAAACGGTAATTGTTTCATTACACATGCAAAACTACTCTTAAATATTATAGAGGCGAGTAGAAGATTCTTCAATAAACAAAAACTAATTAAAATGAATTTTATATCAACGGTAACGAAGATTTTGCCTGTGAACATAATCAAAAAACAAAACCTATTATTTTATATGAGCAATCGCCCAACCATTACAAGCATCTGAGGATATGCTTCTCACTGTTAAGCTTTCACAATCTCAAATTAGCTTGACAACGTTAGTAAGAAATTGCGAAATTATATCTGTCATTTTTAATAGCTAGAACTTTATTTCTGATGTAAGAGAAGCAAAAACAACATTATTTCGTAAACTGATTTTAAGAGAGACGTGTAGGTGAAATGCGAAGGTTTGGGTAAGACTAAAGAGAAGGTTCGCATCTACACCAACACCTTTTTCAGCAAAATAAAGAGTAGCTGTCACAATGAGCATTTGGTTATTATTTTAATTAGATTGATACCAGTTTTCTTACCTAGCTTCTTTGTTATGGTACCCTTCTTATTCTTAAGTCCTAAACAATTGGATGGTATTATGAAACTTGCATCAATGATAATACCGAATAGATAAGAAATCAATTATTGAATGCCTGATACGATTCGAGCCACAATGAAACTGCAAACAACTGGTAAATACAGAAGTAAACAACCGTCTATGAGATGTCAAATACATTTTTCCAGAACTTTTATTTCGGAAAAGTTCAGTAATAGAAAGTCTTCTTATCACAACTATCATCAAATATTTTTATTCAACGACAATCATGCTTCTTGAAAGTGCGGTTAAGATCAGAAGTGTAACAGTTAAAGCTCCAAATAAATAAATCAGTATGTTTTCCTTGTTTGTTGGAGCTTACACTAATTTCGTCTTAGCCATCACTTTATGAGTTTTTCATTAGTAGTTAGTTTATTTATTAATGACTCATGGACGAGTAATCATTAATCAATAAGCTTATTGATTATTAGTGAAATTATAATATCAAATGGCTGTGGATCGATGGATTGGTATAACTATAGTTAATACTCATTTATTGACGCCCATACACTTTACCAGGCGGTAGTCTTAACTGTTAAACCATTAGGAATCCCTTCTCTATCTCACATACAGATGATTATTGCTCTGTCACATCATTTTTGTCTCAAACCTACTCTATCCAATTGAAATAGACTAAATATCAGTCTTAAAAACAATAATAAATGATGCTTCAACAAAAGTATATTTCAGTATTTCTGTACTCGTCAGACTATGAATTCATACTATTTCACGTCATTTCAATGTTGATCTGTTTTCTAACTACACTAGAAGAATCAGGAACAGATATATTGTGGGAACAATACTTAACATTGTTTAGATTTTATGACTTTTTATGATGGTATGACTCTCAAACTGCAATTCTAATTGCCTAGATTATATCCAGTATATAGATCTTTTAATAATATAATTGATCTTGTAATTTTAGTGTTTTAACACAATCGAAAAGGCGAGTCTTCGAAAATGTGCAATGTTCACCTAGATGATTTCTTCGCATTCATTTTGATACCAAAGACTAATTTTTCTTAACTTAACCTGCGTGCTGAAAATGTAACTTGTTGCATTTGATAGCAATCAGTAATAATAATCATATCATTCTTAGCTTTCGTTATTTTCTCTTATATATTTCCCATAGTTTATTTATCATCGTAATAGTATATATGAAATAAATTCTCTGGTATACAAATGTCAATAGTAATTGTCAATATATTCATTTCTCACGAAAGAACATTCCGAGATAAATGAATCCGATTGTATGAGAGTATCCAATGGGAATTTGGGTTAAGAAATCGTTAACGGCTCCGACATTCAAATTTCAATGAGGTTCCGATGAGATCCAACTGTCAGAATCGATAAATATTTCCATTGTCGGTTTCTGATAAGTTTTCGATAGATTTGCACCAACGTTTTTGAATCTCTGATGAATCGTATATTTTATGAAAAGATCCGTCATTTGAATTCTATCGTACTTTAACTGAAAATATGTATGAGCTTTGATTATTGAAATCTAGTGTATTTCTTTCTAGCGGAATTCCAATGAAATCACACAATATTAATAGATATAGTCTTAGTGTAATAACTGTTGACAACGTTAAAATGTTAGTTTGAACGGAGAAATCCTAATCTGCAATACATACATGAATAAAAGTTTTCGAGTTAGAGAATCTCGGTCAGATCACACATACTATAAAAAAATTCGAATTTGTTATAAACATTGATCAAAGCTTTTCGAAGATCAGTAATCCATACTAACTATCAGTTTTAAAAATCTTCTGGCCAGGACTTTCGGTTGGAAAAGTGTATGTTAAATTGTTCTTCTCTCAGAATAGGCCAATAAATTTGTTGCTACCATCAGTGAAATCTCAATGTATTTTATTTAATTTAACGACTTGATAAGTGTAAGAATCTACAGTTTCTCAAGCAATTCGATAAATAAATTGAAAGACATATCCCTTGTTTTTCTAAACTTCAACTGTAACAAGAAGATAGAGTAAAAAAAAAGTTATTTTATTGAAACTATAAGTGAATACGGCAAGATAATGCATTCGTCAGATAGATTTCAATTAGAATTACACATATTCCTAGTATTTATCATTTTTACGAGAATCGAATACTAAGTATACAATTACAAAACTCTTATGCATTAACTGTTCCGTTGTTATCAAGTTCCGAAAAATTTCTGGAATAAATGAAGATTCAAAGTGGCTCTAATTCTTATTTGCCAACTACAACTACCAACGAGCACTAGTAAGAGTTCCCGTATTTTGTCAACCGTTCTTACATTGTAAAAACAGTTAGATAATGTCTGATAATTAGTTGAATTAACTTCTTATGTGATTGACACTATCGTCAAGCTGTTGTCCGTATCATTGCAACATATGAAAAATTTCCAAACAAAACCTTCCTAATTAGGATCCAATAAATATTTATATTTATCCTTTGCCGCTCCCAATAGACATAAGTGAGACCAGTAAATAAACTATTTATTATAGTACTATTCCTGACTATCACTTCATTCATTTATTCTTTATAAACAATTGTCACTTCTGTCAGAAAGATACGCAAAAGAAGTACTTCATCGATCTAAATTATTCCTTTTGATAAACTGACAACTTAGACAATTTGAAACATTTCATATCTAATTTTTCTTCTCAAAGACAATATATATATATAAAACTTTTCTATTAATAATTTAGACATCAATGATATTATTCGATAAAAAAATTTACACCGATGATTGAAGAACTAACAAATAATAAATCAATTCAAACTAATTATTAATTTCTCAAACAATGTAAAATATATTAAACAACGTATTAATTAAAATATTCATAGTGACATTAAAGCACACATATAATCTTTTTTTTTATTCTTTGTTCTACAATAAAAGTCAACACAAAACAAATAAAAATATTGCGCATATATAGACAAATCGATTACTTTTTTATCCTATGTATATAAAATAATAGATTTTTCAATCGGTTTTCGACATATTGGGCATTCTTGTACACGATCACCACAATTTTGACATACACCATGACCGCATAAAAAGACCATATTCTTTAATCGATCCATACATATTGGACAATGAACTTGTTCACGAATTTCTTGTAATTGTTGTTGTAAACGAGCTAATGCTATTGCATCACTTACATCATTTGATGGCGTTGGTGTTGGTGTAGTTGGTGTTTCAGATTTTATTGAAACACTATCATTATTTCCACAACAAAGTTCATTAAATGACA